AGACTGACAAGTACAACAAACTGATTGAGTCACTGTAACAACAAAAAAAAATTGATGATTTCAAGAGGTACCATATGGCCAATAACCTATGGGATGGAAGGAAGAAATCCAAGCTGCAGTGAAGGCATCAGCAAAAAAAAAAGAAAGAAAAAGTCTCCAGGAATTGATAGAATATAAATTGAAATCTTTCAACAAACTGTTGCAGCCCTGGAGGCCCTCACTCATCTCTGCCAAGAAATTTGGAAGACAGCTACCTGATCAACTGATTGGAAGAGCTCCATATTTGTGCTCATTCCAAAGAGAGGGGACCCAGCGGAATGTGGAAATTATCAAATAATATCATTAATATCACAAGCAAGTAAAATTTTGCTCAAGATAATTCAAAAGCAGTTGCAATAGTACATCAACAGGGAGCTGGGCAGAAATTCAAGCTGGATTCAGAAGAGGACATGGAACTAGGGATATCATTGCTAACATCAGATGGATCTTGGCTGGAAGCAGAGAATAACAGAAAGATATTGTTTTATTGACTATGCAAAGGAATTTGACTCTGTGGATCATAAAAACTATGGATAATATTGTGAAGAATGGGTATTGCATAATACTTGATTGTGATCATGAGGAATCTGTACATAGAACAGGAGGCTATCATTGGAATTGAAAAAGGGAATTCTGAGTGGTTTAAAATCAGGAAAGGCGGTGTATCCTTTCTTCTTTTTTGAACTGTATACTTAATTCAATCTGTATGCTGAACAAATAATCCAAGAAGTTAGATTATACACACACACAAAAAAAGATCATGGCATCAGAATTGGAGGATAGCTCATTAACAAGCTGTTATATGCAGATGAGAGAGGGAACTTTGGTAACATACTAGGTTAAGTGTTGGACTGTTAATCGCAGGACCAGCAGTTTGAAGTTACCAGTCTCCCTGAAAGAGAAAGATAAGACTCTCAGCTCCTATAAAGAGTTACAGCCTTGGAAACCCTATACAAGTGAGTCAGAACCCACTCAACAGCATGCAACAATAACATATGCTGATGACACAAACTTGCTTGCTGAAAGTGAAGAACACTAAATACTTACTGAAGATCAAAGACCACAGCCTTCAGTAAGGACTGCACCTCAAGGTAAAGAAAACAAAAATAAATAGCATGATAAATGAAGAAAAGATTAAAATTGTCAAAGACTGTTTTGCTTGGATCCACAATCAATACTTATGGAAGCAGCAGTAGAAAATACAAATGATATTTTGCATTGAGTAGATTTGCTTCAAAAGATCTCTTCAAAGTGTTACAGAGCAAAGATGTCACTTTGAGCACTAGGGTGTGCCTGACTCAAACCATGGTATTTCAATTGTCTCATATATATGTGAAAATTGGACAATGAATAAGGAAAACTGTTGAAATGATGCATTTTAATTATGGTGTTTGCGAAGAATATTGAACAGATTGCCAGAGAGCAAACAAATATGCCTTGAACGAAGTACAGCCAGAACATTCCTTAGAATCTCTCACATTTTGGACATGGTAGGAGGGACCAGTCCATGGGCAAAAGGGCATCATGTTTGGAAAAGTCAAGGGCCAGCAAAAAAGAGGAAGTCCTTCATGTATGATGTTCTTGATGTCATCCCACAATTCTTCTGGTCTTTGGTCTTTAGTGTTTAATGTATCAAATCTGTTCTTCAGATGATCCCTAAATTTGGGTGGGATATATTCAAGGTCATATTTTGGCTCTCGTGGACTTGTTTTCATTTTCTTCAGCTTCAGTTTGAATTTGCATATGAGCAATTGATGGTCTGTTCCACAGTCTGCCCCTGGCCATGTTTTCACTGATGATATGGAGCTTTTCCATTGTCTCTTTCCGTAGATGTAGTCAATTTGATTTCTATGTATTTTAAATACGGTATTTTAAATATGAGCAGAGTCACCCATGGTGGACAGGTTTCAGATGAGCTTCCAGACAAAGACAGACTAGGAAGAAAGAGTGATGAACTACTTCCGAATATTTAGTCACTGAAAACCTTATGAATAGCAGAGAAACATTGTCAGATATAGTGCCAGAAAATGAGCCCCTCAGGTTGGAAGGCACTCAAAATACGACTAGGGAAGAGCTGCCTCCTCAAAGTAGAGTTGACTGTGATAAAGTGAGTGGATTAAAACTTGTGGGTGAAAAGCCCATGGGACCTTCATTTGCTGATGGGGCACAACTCAAAATGAAGAGAAACAGCTGTAAACATCCATTGAAAATTGGAACATGGAATGTACGAAGTATGACTCTGGGAAAATTGGAAGTTGTCAAAAATGAAATGGAATGCATAAACATCGATATCTTAGGCATTAATGAGCTGAAATGGACTGGTATTGGCCATTTTGAATCTGACAACCACATGGTTTACTACGCTGGGAATGACACATTGACGAGGAATGGTATAGCATTCATCGTCATCACATTAGGGGTGAGTTAATTAAATGTTTGACCAAATGTAGCAGGGTAGTTTTAAAATTGATAATTCTGTATGGCTTATGAATGATGTTATAAATATGGCAGAAAAAAGGTTCCCCACCCCTGCTCTGGAGAATGAACTTTGGAATGAGACAACAAAACACTGACTTATTCTTGTGGTAAATAAACCCAGTGCTCACTGTATCCTCAGATGTACTAGGATAAGCCAAAAAGTATTGCTACAAAATCCAGAAACCTTTATTGAACAAAAATCTCAAGGTGTAAAGATATTGTTTCTCAACATATCCCCATCAAGGTCTACCCATTTCTGAAGGTGGTGTTTCTATCCCTCTTAATCTTCCTTTAAGAATTCTGCACACTTTGACTTATACCATGTTAAAATGGTAATTTGGGCATCTTTGAGGGACTAAAATATTCTTTGAGTTTGGGGAACAAAACAAGTTTGAAGAGACAAAGATTAGCAATGTAAGATGGATGGGATAAGGTGTACCAATGAAGTTCCTGTATGACACCCCTTATTACCCTGGAAGACTAAGCAGGTACTTTGTGATAGAAAAGAAAAGAAAAAATTCCTTGGCACAACTTTCCTGGCCTTTTTCTCAAGTTTTTGAAAATTTCATAATAAACACCCCTGTGTCTAGCAAGAAAATCTATCAATATTAACCTTTTGGAATCCCCAAAATCAGCCACCATAATGACCTGAAATTCTCTGCTTTGAATTGATCTGACCCAGAAAATCCCCTTAAAAACCACTGGTTTGAGCGGACCTTTGTGTTTTGTTTGTTTGTTTTTGGAAGGCACTCTAACGACTAAGACCAGAATATTATTGAATGAACTTGCTTGTAGCTATTTAAACACATTTTGTTTGGAATAAACTTGTTCATGTATGAACTAGAACCCTAGTAGCAATAATTTTTGACTCACACTCATATATGAAAGAACTACAGAAATCCAGACAAAGGCAACTCAAATAACAGACAATGGCCCAATGATGATTTTTTTCCATTTAGCTCGAGTCATGAATATGCATGAACACATGAAAGCAGCAGATTTAAAATTAATTATATTAGCACAAAATTCGTCAACTTAAAATGTACTTTCCTGTCCCTTATTCATTCAATGAAACCTGAGCACTCTGCGCTTGGTACCATGGGAAGAAGGAGAGCACTGTCTAAAATGATCTTTACAATTAAGGAAATTAGGGTTGAACCATGGTTAAGATCACAGGATAACCATCTGTAGTACTTTGGGGAAGTTCCTTCTAAGACAGTTTCCACAAAGTAAAGAGGTAATGTCTACCTCATGGGTATTGTGAAGAATAAATGTGAACATGCACAATAAAGTGCTTAGCACTATGCCAGGCAATGTGGGAAACCTTTTATTGATGTTATGTGCTGTAGAGTTGGTTTTGAGGAGTTGTTGGTGAGCTTAAACTGCCAACCTAGCGATTCAAACTGGCATTGCAGCCCAGTGCATTAATCCACAGTGCCACACCAGAACTCCGTGGGAAACTCTGGGTGGTGTAAATGGCTAATATGTTCAGTTGCTAACTGAAAGGGGCTGATGCTCTACTTTAAAAAAAAATCGAAAACCCTATGGACAACATATGGGTCTTCTCTGACACATATGGGTACTCCATGAGGAAGAGTTGAGTCCACCATGGCAACTGATATTAAGTAGGTTGCAAAGTATTTACTATAGAAGTTTATTTCTTTCTTGTCCTCCTTCTAGTCCCCCTCACACTACCTCTCACTTTGCTTCCCCTTCTTTGGCTGAGTTAGCCCTCCTAACACCCTTGGAGCGAAGTCTATCCCAGCCAGTCACTCTAATTTTGCTCTTGCCCTGATCCTTTTGACCTCCAGTCTCTCATCCTCTACCCTGTTCTTACTCTTTCCCGCTCCCCTTACTCTTTGCCTTTGGAGTCGGGAGGCTCTTAAGTGCTGGATGGCCATGAACAAATAAATAATTTAACTGCTGAGTCTCAGTGTTCACATCTGAAAAATGGGAAAATAATCTCTATTTCACAAGATTGCTTTGTGGAGTCAGTAAGATAGAAAAGTGTAAGCATTATGTAAACCGTTCAGAGTCTTCAAAAGGCTAGTAGTTACTGTAGTCTCTCTTCTCCCATCCTTTTCAATTTCTTCCGCCTTCGAATTCCTACCCAAATTTTAGGTCTAGAATACTCTTGGATTTGAATGTTAAGATATTATTCCAATCAGAGTGCAGATATGCGAGTGTTATCGCCGTCTACGCCAATCAGATGTTCGGAGAGTGGTGTGGTCCCGCCTCCTGGAGGCCTGTTCTAATGGAGCTTGTACTTTACGCGGCCTTACGACCCAGCGTCTTTTCGCTTCGCACCCCGATTTCCCTACTAGAGAAGGAGGAGTCCTACCTCTTCTTTGTCCCAACTCCTAAAGTCTTGGGACTGAAAGGCTGGAATAGCGGGAACCGGAAGTTTACGCAGTAGCAGCGGGTCCCCAGTAAATCGACGCCGGAAGTAACAATTATTAGAGACCGATCCGACCGATTTCGCTATGGCGGCGGTACCCCCAGACTCCTGGCAGCCGCCCAACGTATACTTGGAGACCAGGTGAGGAGTGTCGGGCCTTTGGGGCTGGGCTGGCGGAGTTGACGCGGAGCCCGTGCGTCGCAAAGGGGCTCGGTTCCCGGCGCTCCCGCGGGAGATCAACATCCACGTGGAAGAGCGTGGAGCGGCGACCGTAGGGCGGCCTGAGGGCGGAATGGGGACCACCATCGCTGGAACCGAGCTCCGCACCGACTCACGCCGAGACACTCAGCCACAGCTGCCTGATTGCCCTCCTCCCACCACTCTGTTCATTCATTCATTCATTCAACAAATGTTTATTGAGTCCACAGGCCAGGCACGTAGTATGTGGGATTGGAGTTTACGGAGGTGGATGAAACACAGTCCCGCCCTTCGTAACTCTCAGTATAGTGAGAGACAGATATGTAATTAATTACGTGATAAAGTACTACAGTGTATAAACAAATTACTATGGGAACACAGGAAGAAGCACATTTCCCCCACTCTCAGAGAGTGATAACAGTAAATAGCAATAAAGCACCAAACTGCTTGTGCTATGCCCCTGATGTACACCCTCACATCTAATTTTATCTTAGTAACTCAAAATCATGTAGATGTTATTACACTTCCCACCAATTTTATCAGAGGAAATGCCAAAATTTACAGTTGGATGGCTTGATCAAAGCCACACAGCTAGGCAGTGGGGGACCAGTTTGGAGCCTGATCTGCTAGCCGCACATGCTAACCTCTTTAGAAAAAGCTCGAAGTGATCTTTCCAAAGTGGGACAAGAGATCCTACTTAAAAACTGTAAGTGATTTCTCCTGTTTAAATTTCTAACATTTAAACCTCTTAAGACTGACAAACGAGATGATTGGTTTTTTTCATCTGGCCCTGGCTACATCTGCCATTCCTACATCAGCAGTTAGCACCCTGCCATGGTCTACTTTCCATGCTAGCAAAGAGTTCTCTTAGTGCCTCTGTATTTACCATATTGCTTTTGCTTCCTGGCTATCCTCACCACTTTATATGGTACCATTTCCTGTCATCAGGCTCCAACTTGAAAATAATTACTGAACACCTCTGTTAACATTTTTAAAAAATGTTTTATTGTGAATTATGTGATAGTTTACATTGGAGAACATTAGTTTTACATTCTCTGTTAACATTTTTAATAAAAATAAAACATTATAGACATGTATAGAGTAAGAAATGAAAGCCACCTCCTTCCCATAAACACTTAATAGTTTGTTGAATGGTCGTTGAGATCTTTTTCCATAAAAGACATTACATGTTTTTTTTATTTATGTAACAAAAGCAGAATCATAGAACATTTAAATTATTTCTTGATTTTTGCTGATACGAGGATATACATTGTATCCTTAGGCACTTAGGGTAGTGTCCATGCTAGAGATGATTGGAAGCTGAAATTACAGAATCAAAAGGTTTGTACATTTCAACATCCTATCTAATTTTCCAGTTGTTAATCCAAAACTTAATTCCCTGTATTTAGAAATATCCTGGTGTGGTGTTGTAGGATTACCCCTAGACTGCTAACTGCATGGTTGGCAGGTCAAACCCACCAGCTAGCTGCTCCTCAGAAACTCTATACAGGGGCACTATGAGTTGGAATCCAGTTGACAGCACTTTACAACAACCACCACCAGCATATAAGTCCATAAGGGGAAAAAGCCCCTAGAACTGCCTTGCATAGAATAACCATTAATCCAGGTTGAATGTTAGCATGAAGGATGAGTTATAGGCAGGACAGCTGTCAGAAAGCTTCTAGCACATTTCACATGTGTTTATAGAGTGCTTACAGTGTACAAGGCACTGCTAGGCACTGGGTACCCGTGCCACAAAATGGACTCAGTTCTCACATTCTTGGAGTTTCAAGTGAGTGATGGAGTTGAGAAGGCTTCTGTCCTGACTCTTACTTGTTCTCTATGCTTTAGCAGTATTGTGTTGATAAGTGCCCTGGAGTTGATTCTGACTCAGGGACCCTGGATAGGGTTTCCGAGAAGTGGTTGGTGAGTTTGAACCACCAACCTTGTGGTTCAAACCGATCTTGTGGGCCAGTGCTTATCCTACAGTGCCATACCAGGACTCCCTGCTTAGCAGCACTGAGGACAAAAAAAGCACTCATCATATTGGATAGGTGCAAAAGTTTGATCAGATTTTTGTTTTTTTTTATACCCTTTCCCAAACATATACACACTATATTTTCCCCCCCAATTAAAGTTTTTTCAATAGGTAGTACATTTGCATGGTTCAAAAATAGAAGAAAAAAAATTTAAGGTATTCATTGAAAAACCTTCCTCTCATCCTTGGCTCTAGTTTACCCAGTTTCTACCACCACCCAGAAACATATGCATGTGTAATTAGATTGCAACTCCTGATAGTTTAATGTCCTCATTTAAAAAAAAATCTATACGTTCTTAATTTTCTTCCCCTAATTTTGTGGTTGGTCATATTGGTTCCAGATTACTAGTGATTGACTTTTGTAGGTCAGGTCTTGGATTTTGAGTTGTGTTCTATTGTAATTTTGTTTACAAGAAGTACCAGGAACCTCTGCATGTTTTACTCAAAGGTGATAGCCCTGTTCATGTTCATTGCAGTGGGTTGTTTTCCTTTGCTGAGCATGAAATCCAGTGGCTGTCACAAGTGATTTACACACTTGAAAATGAAGGATCCTGGAGTAGTCCTACTCTTTTCTTGTATCCTGTGACTTTGTTCTTGACAGGAGCTGTGTTGTTCTCTTCCCCTACAGCATGGGGATCATTGTGCTGGAACTATACTGGAAGCATGCTCCCAAGACATGTAAGAACTTTGCTGAGCTGGCTCGTCGAGGTTATTACAATGGTACCAAATTCCACAGGATCATCAAAGACTTCATGATCCAGGGAGGTGACCCGACAGGAACAGGTATCGTTAAGCTGACATTAGCTTTAGAACAGTCATTGTCATAACTGGAGGATAAAGAAGCCGGAGCTCTTTTCTGTATAACCAGGGACTGGGATAGTGATGATGTCTGCCCTCACTAGCGTATGTTGTTATTCAGTGGCAGCAGGTTGGTTCTGACTCAGTGATCCTGTATAGGGTTTCCAAGGTGGGTGGGTTTGAACTGCCGACCTTATAGTTAGCAGCTACACTAGGACTGTCTTCTCTAAAACACCACCAGTTGTCATCAAGTCAGTTTCAACTCATGGCAGCCCATGAGTGTCAGAGGAAAACTGTCTGCTCCATAGAGTTTTCAATGACTGGTTGAAAAACACCTTTGGGTGGACTTGAACCTTCAACTTTCCCATTAGCAGCCAAGAGTATTAACAGTTTGCATCACCTGGGGGATCCTCCACAAACACCTCTGTGGGATTGACCAGAAACCATCTCTGAACCCTGGACTACTTTATTGAATTTTTCATAGCTTTCATGTATTAGTCTAGACTTAGAGGAAATAATATTTGCCTGAATTACAGTGATCCATAAAGCCATCTAAGGAGCTCTGGTAGCATAGTGGTTACAAGTCGGGCTGCCAGTCTCAAGGTCAGCAGTTCAAAACTACCAGCTGTTCTGTGGGAGAAAGATGAGGCTTTCTGCTCCCATAAAGATTTACAGCCTTGGAAACCCTGTACAGGGTTGTTATGAGTCGGACTGACTCCACGGCGCATAACAACAACAACATAAAGCCATCTGATCAGTCCGAAGTAAAGAAAGACATTGTAATGTTTTGGGAAAGTAAAATATTGGTTTTTTTCCACTAATGATAGATTTGGCGAATATTGAGTGCCTGCTTTGTGTCAGGTACAGTTCCAAGTTCTGGGAATTTCTCTGTGGGCAAAAAGAGAAAAGTCCTGCTTTCAGTAACACAGGACAAGTGCGTGAGGGCACATGCTCAGGAAGTACTGCCTGGAAGCAGTGATTTAGATGAAATCAGGGAATGAAGCGTGCAGCTCTGGGAGAAGAGCATCCGAAAAACAAAACCCACTGCTGTTGAGTTGACGCCGACTTGTAGCAACCCTAGAGAACAGAGTAGAACTCCCCCATAGGGTTTCCAAGGCTGTACATCTTTATGGAAATAGACTGTTACAGTTTTCTCCTGCAGAGCAGCTGGGGAGTTCAAACCACTGATCTTTTTGCCCTGCATTGTTGTTAGTGCCGTGGAGTCGGTTCTGACTCATAGCAACCCTGTACAGGGTTTCTGAGGCTGTAAATCTTTGCCAGAGCAGAACGCCTCATCTTTCTTCCATGGAACAGCTGGTAGTTTCGAACTGCTGACCTTGCGGCTTGTGGCCCGATTCGTAACCACTACTATGAAGGACCAGAGCTCCTTCATAGGAGGTGATAAAAACTTATCATCTTTGAGCAAACGAGTGATGTGATCCAACTATGCTTTAAAAAGACTACTCTGGTAGCTGTTTGGAGGACAGATGTAGGGAAAAGAACAGAGTGAAGAGGCCGCTGTGGTCATGCAGTCTAGGATGTAGCCTGAATGGATGGCCTAGGCTGATAGTAGACAAAGTGGTGAGAACATGGAGCTGATGAGATTTTCTGACAGATTGGATGTGGGATGTGAGAGAACGAGATGGTCAAGAGTGACTTCAGGCTTTTTGACCTACCTGCCTATCTGAAATGGGGAAGGCTAAGAGAGAAGGAGCTCTGGTAGCGTAGTGGTTACGAATCGGGCTGCGAACCTTAAGGTCAGCGGTTCGAAACTACCAGCCGCTCCGCGGGAGAAAGATGAGGCTTTCTACTCCCGTAAAGATTTACACCCTCGGAAACCCTGTACAGGGTCGCTATGGGTCGGCTCCGACTCGAAGGCACTTAACAACAACAACAACAAGAGAGGAGGAGATTTGGAAGAGAATGATCAGAAATTTGGTTTTGGACACATTACATTTTAAATATTTCCTAGATATTCAAGGAGATGTGGTGGCACAGTGGGTTAAGTGTTGGGCTGCTAGTAAAAAGTCAGCAGTTCGAACTCACCAGCTACTCCTCATGGGAAAGATGAGCTCCTCTGCTTCATTAAAACTTTACAGCCTCAGAAACTCTCTGGGGCAGTTATGCGCAGTCCTATAGGATCTCTATGAGTTGGAATCAGTTTGATTAGGGAAATTAGTTTTGTATTGTATTTCTGAATTCTTTGTTATACCTCCTGGATTTTCTGTTTCAGGAAAGCTGTTCTTTGTTTCATTATCTTTGCCTTCCATATCTGTCACAGTTCCCTTTGACTGGGTGAGGTGATCATTTTCCTTTTTTCCTAACATCCTCTGAAATAATCCCAGACCTTTCTTCCGTGCCACCTTAAGTTTTCAGACATGTCTCTTCTGTTCTCTGCTGCTCTCATTTGTTTATTAGCTCTGAATTGCCATCATCTTGTTCTCAATTTGTTTCCCTAGTTTTGCAGTCTTTTCATCGTGTTCTGTGGTGTTTGTTGGGTTTTTTTTTTAATTTCATGTCTTTGAGCTCTGATTTGATTGGATCCTTGTTTCTACTGAGTTCATCTGAAGCTTGAGATCCATGGAGAAGCCACTTCTCAACTATCTTTTCTCCCAGACTGAGGTCCTGGAGTGATTTTTCCTTTCTTTGTCTCTTTCCCTTCCATCTTCCCTTTTGTCATGTGTATATGAATACAGCCCGTGCTATTGCTTTTCATCTTAATCATGCTCAATGTCAGCACCTGTATTGTCCCAATCATAGATTTGGGTTTTCCTTACGTCTCCTACTTATTGGGATGAGTTGTCTTCCCCACTCAAATACTAGGTTGCTTTGCCTGCCTGACGATGGTGGGATGGGAGCAAGAGAGCTCTTCACAGGCTCAGTGAGCCTCTTTGGGGAGAGCTAGCCTCTTTCGTGTCTCTCAAGAATCCATTAACATCCCCACCCCAGGGCCTCCTTTACCTACCAGGGGTGTCCCTCCTCTGCCCCCAACACAGGTTCTGTGTAGTCCCCCCAGTTTGACCCAGTACCTTGGAAGGTTGTGGGCCCTGTCACTCCTGAGCATCTGGGACCGTGCAGGGCTTTCCCTCACTTTCAGGGCTCCCACTCACCCCGTCTGTTGGCGTCTCAAAATTGGAGAGTATTACAAGAATTCTCAGAATGCCACTGGGATCCCATCCTGATTCCCACGTTCAGGCAGTGCAAGCAAAATCTTCGATTTCTTTCCTTGGTTGACTTTAGAATTTTTGCATTGAGTTTGCTTTTTTCTCCTTGTTTGGTTGATGATGGTGAAATCTTGGCTTTTTAATCTTCTAATTTTGGCTAAAAGGTATCAAGAGAGGCAGAGTCTGATGCTGCCGCTTCACTTTATCAGAAGAAGACTTCTTACCTGACTTCCTCTTCTCCCTCATTGTATGAACACTTAATTTATAACATAGTGAGCTAAGGAGTCCATGATTTGTGAACAAGAATCGGAAGTGACTCAAATGTGAGTTGCTTGTATCAGAGCTTCCTTGTGTTTCTGCAGTCAGTTTGAAGTCCTTCAGAATGTCCCATTTCCGTGATGTAATTTTAATGAACTGGAATCACTCAAAAGAGTTCCAGATAATAGCATCCAGCCCCAAGTATATAATCAACAATTGAGCTAGGCCTGCTGGCAGGTTTGTGGTGGAAGGCAAACAGGAGTTAGGTCCTCTTGGGTTTGTATGTGCTGGCTGATTAGGTAATGCCAGAACTTCTAACCAGTTTATTCTGGTTTGACCCACCTGTTGAGAATTTTCATTCTGGTTCAGTGTACCTGGTGTAGAAGTGAAAGTTTTCATCCGGGGGCTGAACTGGTTTGAAGCTCTAGCGACACATTCTTTGCTGAATATCTCAGATTCGCAGTATGTGGCATCCTGGGCTCTTCAGCAAGTGGATGTACCATTTCTGCTCCCAACCGCCCCTTATTCTGATTACTCTGGGCCTGTTCTCTCCACAGTCTTTCTCTGATACTACATCTTTGCCGGATCTTTTCTTAATTCACATACCCTTTGACTTCCTGCTTCATTTGAAGCCATTCTCCTTCCATTAAATTTGCCTTTTTATTACTGTAACTGTGCTCTGCTGACTCTTTTCTTAGCTCTCTGAATGTCTTTTATCCATTTTTACTGACTTCTCTCCCTCTCCTGCATAAAAGACATGGTTCTTTAGTGCTTCCTTAGGCTCACAGTGCTCACCAGCTGCTTTGACAGCAGTGCTTCATTACGTGCTGATTTGTCTATGGGTCACTCTCCCTCTGATTTCCCATCTTCTCTTGTTAGCCCCAGGAACACCTGAAATTTAGCGTGTTGAACAGCAAGCTCATCGTTAATTTTATCCATTTGATGAATATTTACTAGGCATCTGCTGGGTATCCTCTTGCTATTCTAAGGCCTGTGAAGAGTACTTAAGCATTAAAAGCTGTTCTAGTGGATGAAATAGACAAGGAATACATAAGCACATGATATCTTGTGTGGTCAAGACAGATGCTATGAACAAAAATAATGTAGTAGAGGAGATAGAGTAGATTTTCTCAACTGTGGGACTAGCAACATTTTGGACTGAATAATCGTGCGCTCCGTAAGGAGTCCCCGGGTAGTGCAAATGATTAAATGCTCAACTTTTAGCCAAAAGGTTGGCAGTTTGAACTCAACCCAGAGGCACCTCACAAGACAGACTTGACGATCTGCTGAAAGGTCACACACAGCCTTGAAAATACATGGAGCAGTTCTCTACGCAACATTCTGTGCACTGTTGGGTGTTTCACAGTGTCTCTTGACTTTTATCCACTAGAGAGATGCCAATAGAATTCCCAGTTATGAGAACCAAAAATATCACCAGACCTTCCTTGCCCAGTGCCCAGGCAAGATCACAGGCATCCAGAATGAAGGAGGTGCTGTTTTGGGTAGCGGGATTACGGAAAGCCTCTCTGATAAGGTGGCATTTGAGCAAGCTCTGAATAAAAT